TACCCGTGTAAATAATAGATAAAGAAGAGTCAAGATCAGCCTTTACTGTACGTTGGCATGTTCTTAAATAAATCAATTTTTTGTCACGGATAATTATGTTGTTTGTTTCACGTGAAAGTAATAGAAAAGGGTTGAAAAAATTAGTTTGTGGGAACGACGAGTTGCTTAGTTATTAAACTAATAATGTTGTTACAAGAAAGTTTTTAATAATATATTTTTTTTCATGAGAAAAATTTTATTATTTGTCAATTTCCCTACAAATTATCACTCTTTTATTTATTAATAAATTTCAATTTTTAATATTCCCAAAATAAATACAGCCCGTGCGATGCACGGGTTACATACTAGTTAGCCTGTAATATTTGCGAGCTTTTTACTTGTGATACTAAAAGCGATTAAAATATGTTGTGCATGTACTGTTCGCTTATTACAAAATGAATACTTACCAAGCTATCAAATATTATTAAATGCTTTTATCTAGAAAAATACTGCAATTAACCATTGCTACGTCAACTACAATTAGGGGTGTTCACGGTCCGGTTTTAACCGTAAAAACCGTCAATCCGGACCGCGGATCGATTAAATGGTCAGTTAACAAAGCCTTAAAATATCCGGTGGTTAATTTTTCTAAAAATCCGGAATAACCGGTCCGGTTAACGGATTACCTTTGGCAAACCGCCGGTTTAACCGGACCGGACCGGTAAATATTAAAAAACTATAACAAATATACATATATATATATATATATATATATATATATATACATTAAGTCATTCACTATGACCGACAAATACAATACATTAACTATGAATGCTTTGCTCTTATTATTCCAGGTGTATAAACTGACTGAAATATGAATGCTTGCTTGGGTTCAATTTAAATAATTTAATCTTCATCATTTTTGTATTTTTATGTTTGTGGGACGAAATGTGTATTTTTATGCTTATGGGACGAATTGTATATTTTTTTATTTTATTATTGTTGTTTTTCTTAATTTTTAGGCCCAAATAATCTCTTTTGGACCCAAAATTGAAAAATAAAAACTAAACCCAAAATGAAAAAAATAAAAATTAAAGGCCGAAAATAAGGATTTTGGATTTAACCGGTTAACCGCCAAACCGGACCGTCAAATGCGGTCCGGATTGTGGTCAGTTAAAAAATAAAACCGGTCCGGCTATGGACAAGAAAAAAAATTAACCGTTAGGTCCAGTTTGGTCATGGTTTGGACTAAAACCGGACCAATCCGGACCGTGAACACCCCTAACTACAATTGCCAAGCTATCAAATAATTATTAAATGCTTTTATCTAGAAAAATACTGCAAACCATTGCGACGTCAAATTAAAGTGCAACTATATTCATTACTCCAGCAATACTTGCGAGCTTTTTACTTGTAATACTAAAAGCGATTAAAATATGTTGTGCATGTACTGTTCATTAATTACAAAATGAACACTTACAAAGCTATCAAATAATTATTAAATGCTTTATCTAGAAAAATACTGCAATTAACCATTGCTACGTCAACTACAATTGTCAAGCTATCACATACTGCAATTAACCATTGCTACGTCAACTGCAATTAGTGGATGATTTGATTTTTTTGCTAATTTGAAATTGAAATTTTGTGGACACTCCTAATTTTTTTTAGGACTCCCACTTTTCGATCCGATTTTTTGGACACTCTCTACATGATAGACATTAAAAGGGCTTTCAATTCTTATCAGATAATATTCCATAGAGATTTTTAATTTCAGATAATATCATATAATTAAAAATTGGGAGTCCTAAACTTATTTTCAAGCTTTGAACACTCAGAATTAAAATAAATTACAAAATACTATAAAATCTATTAATATATAAAGAGACAACCTAAAAAAACTAAAATAATAACTAAAAAATAATTAGGATTCTCGCCTAAAATTTTATTAAATATAGTAACTTTTTTTGAAAATTTTCGGTCAAAAATTTAAATTCAAACATTTAAAGAAATGATTGACTCTAGATTTTTTTGGGTATATTCCACCTTTATCTTATATGCTTGAATTTAAATTTTTGAGTAAACACATCGTATATATATCTCATGATTTAAATTAATCTTTTGATGGTTGAAAAAATATTGTGTACGTCTCTGTCTTTTGGGAAGACAAACCTTAATGGCACATTTAGGATTATTGTCTACCAAAAATAATAAGTCAAAGAATCTATATTTTTCAAACTTCATATTAGATAAGTATGGACATTTTATGAGGATATGAGAAACGTGTGGTTAATTTGAATATTAAAACAATTATATCACTTGTAGTATATTTTGGCATTTCTATACACTACAAAAAAAATTTTATATTACAACGAAAAATCGTACCATAATATATTCCAACAGATATTTCAATTGTATAGCTTCCGTTGGAATGATTCCAACAAAAATATTGCGTTAGAATGACTTCTCCATTGGAATTTTAGATGAAATTTGATGATTCCAACGGCTATTTTTCCAATGGTTTTTTACCGTAGGAACTTCCGTTGGAATTTGCAATTTTCGTTGGAATTTTTATTTCCACCTCCGTTGGAATACCAATAAATATAATTGTATTGGAACTTTCTGTTGAAATTTCATCATTTTGTTGTAGTGATACATATATATCTAGGTTTGTATTTATTAAACATAATAATTTTAAAAAATAATAATTTACAAAATTCCGCCTCTACAAAATAATTAATCAACTTATGGTATAAAGTTAGCAAAATTAATAAATTCTTTTTTTTAAATAATAAATTCGGTTTTGGTATAAAGTATGCAATTTTTTTTAGGTACCTGATGGCCATTTATTTTATTTTTTGTAGGGAATGTGTTGTTATTAATAAATGTCCAATTTTATGGTATAAAGTGGGCAATTCTATTTTGGTATGGAATGTCCGAATTTAAACGTTATGTATTTTATTTGTTACGAATGGAAGTGTATTTGTAAATTTTGAAAAAAAAAAAATAAGCGGTATGAATTTTATTTGGTATGAGTATGAAATTTGAATTTAGGTTGATTTGTTATAAAATCAAGGTGATATGATTCTCAAATTTCAGCAATCCCCGTAATATATTGCCATGAGATATTAATGATAATTCAGAAAATTGATATATATTCATCTTGAAAATCATAAAGATCTTTTGACAAATGTGGGTTAATAAAATTTAAAATTTATAATTTAATTCTAGAGAATTATTTGATAAATTTTAACGGCAGATAAGTAATTATTCAACTATTTAATTTTTTGATTTGGATAATTTATACAAAAATAATGTATTTTAAATAATAAATAATATAAGTTTCATAACTATACTTATTTTTTTCGAAACAATAGAGATATTATATATAAAATAGCACAAACGTGCGAAAGTACAACCACTAGCTGAATACATACAGCCAACGGCTGAATACAACCAGCCAACAACTGAAAAACTGGGAGGACAACCTAAAGACTCCCTAGAACCGACCCCAACAGGGTAATCTAAAAACTCAAACAAACGACCCCATCAGGATAATGTCCGAGTGGTCACACTCAGGTAAATTGAGGCCAACGGCCCATACCTAAAACACAAACAACACAAAACAAGAACAAACAAACGAAACATACAAATAACAAAAAACTACAAACTAAAAAAGCCTCCCTCAGCAGATACACCCGAAAAGAATAGCAGACAAAGCCGATTCCAAGGAGAGCTCCAAAACTCTGATACCACGCCCGCTACTGCAGAAGGCCTAGCGAGACGATGACTCAAGCCTCAGAACAATCCGAAAAACCGACCCGCACATCAACCGCAAGAAACCACAATCGACCCCCAACTGGTTAACACCAATAGCCAATCCGACACCAACCCCGAAACTGCCTATCACCACTAGCCAACTCCGGAAACGGTCGGCGACCTCCCACGAACTCCGAAACAGAGAAAGGAGAGGAAGGGGATGAATAGCGTCAACGCTCGGCCGCGCCGCCCATGCCCGAAGGGACGAACCCAACCCGAAACGACCACCAATCCACCCAGCCCGCAAGGACGAACCCAGACGCAACACCCCTGCACATCTGAGGTGCCAGTGACCCGACTCAGGCATAAATTGAAGAGCTGCAACCGAGCTGACCTCCAAGCCCAGCGAGAAGAGGCGCCCCGGCCAAAGCCCAAACCCGAGCTCCCCACCGAGCCCCCGAAGACGAACCCCAGCCCACCCGCTGCCACACCAGAGCTCCGACGAACAGAGAACAGGAATTTATACCTGTAAATATGCAGAACCGGTGATGAAGCCGTCGGCAAAAGCTGGGAGTGGGACATCTAAACAAGAACGATGCAAGCAACGTGAGCCGCGTCCCTCCTATGTGGCCGCACTCCACCCCGCCTCGCCACCCAGAATCTCCGGCGGCCTTCCAGCACAGATCGACGAGATCAGCCGAAGACCTCATATTCGCCCCCGACCAGAGAGACGAAGGGTGGTAGTGCCGCGAATAGAAGCGTGGACGCGCTGCGGAGAGCCGTCCACCGGCTAGTCGGATGGACGCTGAGAGAGCACAATTCGCCGGCGCCGAAAGCTAGGGTTACGGGAGGACAAAAGGAATTTTTTACGCGGAGAGGAGAAAGAGGATCTAACTATACTTATTACATTGTAATAAAATTTTACCAAAATATTTGTTTTATGGAATCACATTATATTCAAATCGAATTTCAGAATAAATATTTTGAAATGACACTTATTTAAAATGAATATAATGCAATTTAGTATTAATTATGTGCACCGTAGTGGTTGTGTACTAATTTTAAATAGACATATTTTATGTAATTTTGAACAATTGAAATTCCATATAACATTTTCAATATAAATAAATTAATATAATAATATAGATAAATTGTATTACATATTGATTCTATATTTTTAATTTACAAATATTATTTTATGAGCATTTTAATTTATAAATATTAATGAATATCTTTTATCCGTGCATCGCACGGGATCCGTACTAGTTCATATGAATTAACTAGGAAACAAAATCAGCAGAAAGGATCAATACTCTATGATACTGGAAACACTCTCTTTTCTGCTGCTAAAAGAAAATGTTTACTTCCCCCAGAGCAAGAGATAAGGGCATGCAGACAGTAGAATACAAAGCATCAGCTGTGATTCTGCTCAATCAACAGGATCCCAATCAAAGCCGTATACTGGAAAAAGGATGAAAAAACAGTAGGGTATGGTTCCGTTTTCGAAGGGTGCTTCAAATACATGTGTAAATAGAAACCAGAACTGTCACGTATGCCGATTATCAGGACCAGATAACTTTTTCCCTACAGCAACATAAAGAACAAGACTTTAAAGTAAGGCCATTACGCTTCTCTACAAGCCTGTCGTCTTGTATCGAGATAAATGGTTTCTTGTATGTTCTTTACCTACTACCTTTTNNNGTTTTTGAAATGTAGCAAAATTAATATCAATGTCTCTCGACAACCAACTACTGGCTGCAAACGACATGATAGAAGGCGACATACAGTTTTCTAACTACTCAGCAGTGCTAGCTGTTTTTGAATGCCGGAAGCTCTCGCAACCCGGACAGTTATGCAAGCTCTCGTGAATATAAATGTCGCAATCCAGGCAAAAGTATTTCTTGCATTTCGGACATGAAACGCAAGGAGCTGGCATGTTCCCTGCATAAGCAAAATGAGATTTAGGCATACCAATTATCGTGGAGTGTTTTCTACTCATTCAAAATTCTTTTAAAAGAAATCTCGATTACAGTCTATAGGATTAGTCATATCTATTACAGGACTATTTACGATATAAAGAATCAGAAAGAACTAATCCATGCTCTAAATAAGAACGAATATAAGGTAAACACAAGAGCACAAAGCAAAATTATAATTAAGACCACATGTAATAAGTAACTTGAAAAAGCAAAGCAAGAAAACCTGCTTAACTACGGATTTAACAAATACCAGGATTCAGGAGGCTTTGCAGGCAGCCGAAGCAGTTTTTGGAAAGATGGCGTTGGTTGTTCGAGACTGACGGCGCCACATCATCAAACGGGGTAATTGGAAAAAGGTGGTGATAAGACCTCGCGAGGTGGGGTGAAGATATAAGAGTCAACCCACATATTTGACACTCTGTGGGCAAGTCACAAACCCGTGCTTTGCATCTCGGGCAAGTGTAGCCTCCACCAACTTTAGCCACTTTATGACAGGAACAGATTGAGATTACTCCTTCTGCTGCTCGCTGAGGAAAGCCCATCTTAATCAGATTTGCGACTGCGAATTCAGCAATAGCAGGTGGTGGAGGTGCATGTTCAAACACCAAGTCTTTTAAGTGGGACTGCCATAGGAAGATATCCAGAACTAGAATTACACTAATGAAAGTTATTTGCAGATTAATACTTCGAATATTCGGGTTCTCAAGAAGGAATACTTACATGATTTTTAGTGGAAAAAAATGCTTCCATGCTTCTACCCATAAATCTACTTAAGGGTTAAGCATAAAGTTACCTTTGAGATTTGGGCTATGTTTGGTAAGCCAAATAAGCTAGCTTATAGCTTATTTGGTTGGCTTATAAGCTCCCTACATTCAAATAAGCCTCGTTTGGTAGGACAAGCTTTTTTAAAAAGCTCGAGTTTATCTCATAAGCTACTTTAGGTAGCTTTTCAAATAAGCTAGTTGAATTTTTTTATTTCAGCTAGCTTATGAGCTAATTTACCAAACACTTTTATCATATAAGCTAGTTTTTAAGCTATAAGCTATAAGCTCAAAAATTACATATAAGCTGTAAGCTAGCTTATCAGCTAGTTTTACCAAACATAGCCTTGATCTAACGACAAAAACCATCCTTGCGGTCAACAAAGACCTTAAATTCTGCTGCAACCCATTAGTGAAGCTATTAGGAATTGCTGATGCTGTCAAATAAACTTACAATTACATCCCCCAACTTTCTCAATATTCAAAGGGACCCTAAATTCTCGTCTTTTTTTTTAAACAGTTGTATCACTAAATTTTTCCAATATCATGATTATTTGGACAACAGCTACTGTTACTTGTAATATCTAGAAAAAAGTTGAAGGATGTGATGGTAAAATACTTGACCAGTAACGGTTGGAGCAGAATGTAAGGCGTAAGGCGGGATCAAACATCTCAAGGGGTGACTTCTGTAAATTTCAAGGTTAGTTGGATTATATTAAAATATCTGAATCGAAAGGGCAGTTTCCAAAATTATTCCAACTACTTGTAACATAACCATATATAACAACTTACAAGCACCGTTCACAAATGCAGCTCACCTCATCTAGCGCCACTGAGTATATCCCACCTGTTTCTTGACAGAGATACTTGCAGATGTAGAGCTCAGCCGAGAGGCCAATAACCGAGCACCTGATCTTGGAAGTTTTGCATTTCTGAATTGTCTCCATAATATCACCAGGATCACAGGTACTAAGAGCTGAATACAAAATGAGAACCTCTCGGTGGCCGTATGTGGGAATTTGATTCAAAAGGTTTTGGACAAGATCGAGGCCGTTTTGCAGTGATGCATCTCCCGAGCTCGTCAACTTATTCTGCAAAGCATTTATGTGTGACTCTGGACTTCCGCCAAGATCTGTTAGGCAATGTGCTATCCCATCTTTCAATGTAACTAATCCAATCTGACTCAAAGGGTTTTGATAAAAAAATTCTCTGATGAAAGCTACGACATGTCGAGCCACAACAAGCAATCGGCTGGGTTTATAATCAATGTCGCCAGCTGCCTGCAAGTGAAATGATCAGACGTGCCATAAGATAATGAACATACTAAAGTCAAGAAACTCCATTCAAATTACATGGAGAACACAAGAATCTTGAAATAAGCTTGATTTACTGCAAGAACTCTGAAACATTTTCCTGTGGAAAAAGCATGTCCATAGACTGATGTGAGTAGATTTTCCGTTTTTGTACACTTCCTTTCAACTAAAACTTGTGTTGTTTAACCATCAACAAAAGAGAGAGAGAGAGAAAGAGAGAGAGAGAGAGAGAGAGAGAGAGTGCAACTTGATGATCGATGCAAACTCCAAAACCAATCCACCCTCGTGTCATTACTTTGTGTCGTTTTTATGATGACTTACCTTTCAGGATACTCTTCAGATTTCCTAAATCAATTTTTGTTAACAAGTAAACAACATCAATACTTCTATCAAAATCATCAGAAAGTAACAATTACTTTAAAAAAATTCGTAAGGCCAGCTTGCTCCAGTCTCTTCCTCATAGAATCCAATTCTACAATTCTACATGATGTCACGTCAATTCAAAAGCTCCCACTAAACTCTATAGAAAGTAAAGCATAACTAGACTACATAACCCCCACATCGATAAACTAGATTACAGCTGCCACACATCATCAATAAAAATAAATAAATAAAAATAAGACACATTCTGAACAGCGAACTTGAACCATATCCAAAAAGAATTTAAAACAAAAAACACTGTAGGCATACCCTTGAAAGATCAATGACGATGTACAGATACCGAATCAGACCCTTCTGAATTCTTGCAGCTGTCGTAGTTCGAAGGCGCCTTCGATATTGGGAATGGTAGAGAGTTTTGTTGTCGATAGGTCGAAGGAGGCCGGACTCATCCTCTTGAAGGGACTCCCATGACCTCTCGTCGGCGTAAGTCCTCTCCCAAGCATCATGACCCCTGTTATCATCATCATCTTCATCCTCTTCTTCTTCTTCTCTGTTGAACTTCATTTGTTCATCATTACTTTCTTTTCTTGACATGTTTCGGACTATTTTTTATGAAATTAGAGGAGAGTATATTAGTCCAACATATCAAATCTATTAAAAACATAGGGAGAAAGATAGCTAGAGCTTCTTCTTTCTTTTCAATCTTCTTCTTTTGGCTTAAAAAAAAAGGGAAAAAAGCAGCAAACACGGATCATAGTGCATACTTTGGCACATTAATGAATCGGACAACTAATAAGAAAAATCTCAGTGGTCAATTGATACTATTATCATATACAAATAAATCTGAAAAGAAAAATCCTATAACGAAGAGCAAAATTGATGGTACTAAAGATTAAAGCAAAAAACAGCTTCCGGTTCTACATCTCGAAACAAATACAGATGCTAAATGTGTGAAAATAAAAGCAGCCTTTTTTCTTTTACCTTTAGAGGCCATAAATTGATTAGAGATCAGCCTGCCCGTCGAACATGCACAAATAAAAATCAAAGGTTGGGGTTCGTATTAGATGGGTTTTGCCAGGTTTTATGTACGATTGCAAATGAGTAGCTATAGAAATGGAATGGAGAATATAATGCACTTTTTAAAGGGCCTCTGGTTGTGGAGAGGAGGTACGGCGGCGGAGCTTCTTCAGTCGGTGCGCCGGCCGCCGGCGAACAGAGAGGACCACAAATGTCAAGAGTACTAGAGATGTAAATGGGTCGGGTCGGGTACGGGTTTTGACGTACCCGTACCCGACCCGCCAGTTAAAAAACGTACCCGTACCCGGTCTGCTACCCGATTACCCATCACCGGGTTCGGGTTGGGTTTTACCCGTCGGGTAATCCGGTGACCCGAATTAGTAACGAAGAGACCAGGGCCAATGAGTAAAGAAGAGACCAGGGCCAAAGTTTTGATTTTGAATGGACAAATTTACAAACACTATACAAGTCCTTCAAGACTTCAAAGTCACAGCAATTAGCAGTAAGCAGGCCAAAGTTACAGACAATAATGAGATTATTAAACTCAAAATTCACAACACCTAAACTCACAGGCCAAAAGAACTCACACATTCAGTCAAATCGAAGCCAAATTGAAGCCAGGGCGAAGCCAAATCGTGAGGAATGAGGTCGTCGAGCGGAGACGGAGACGTGGGCGTCGGATACGGAGGCCGGAAGCGGAAGCGTGCGCGCCGGGCGGAGGTCGGAAATCAGAGGAGAGACGTCGCCGATAATTGAGATGAGGATTGAGAAGATTGAATCTGATAATGGATATGTCGTGCAGAGCAGAGAGAGAGAGGCTTGGGTTTAGTGAATTTTCCAATATATATTAATTAGCGGGCCATTGTATTAAACAAATTTTTACTTAATCTCATTCTCAGCCATTCAATATATATATATATTTAATTTATTTCTAAATTTCTATGCATATTCTTTTATTTAATTTATTTTTAAATAAAGATGTATTTAGCGAGTTTGATTATAGAGAAAATCAATTATTAAATATAGTATTTAATACTGGACAACCATTTTTATGTAATACAGTAAGTGAACATAAGTAATTTCATTTTTATATTGTTTAATATGTAAAACATATCGAGTTAAAAGTCGCTATCTATATATCAAACTATTTGTACGCTTTCTTTATGTTATTTGTTGATATAAGAATTATTTTTTTAACAAATATTTGAAATTCTTAACTATATCTTAAAGATAAGGGAATACACAAATTTTATGCTAAGGAGATCATGATACGTAAAATAATATTACCTATAAGTATTGGTAAATTAAATAAACAAATTATGGACATATATAATTGTTAAATTCAATATATAGTATCATACTACATTTCAATTAAATTATAATTCATAATTACGTTCTACTTGCTATTCATCTAGGATAAAGAAATTATATTGGAATGTAGAATAAGTTATAAAAAATGAATATAAAACATAAGACTGAAATTAATTTTTGTGTTTGTTAAAAAATATGTAATAAGATGTACTTTTAAATTCAAATTGACAATATAATATTTATTTGAAATGATATAACGAGAGATATCTATTAATTAGCAGAAGAAAGAAACAGATGTATAGATTTAACACATAACTTATATGTGATGAAGTATGCTATTAGTTAAAAAAAAGCATGCTGTTAGTTTTGTCGCATATTATACATTATTTTGGCGTTTCACGAATTGTCAATGACCATACTCCAAAGAAACAACGATAATACGTTATAGATTTATGCATAGCATTTTACTTGGATAATACTTAATTACTCATAGTTTGTAATAGAAAGATCGTGATACGTAAAATAATACTACCTATAACTATTGGTAAATTAAAGAAACAAATTATGAGCATAGATAATTGATAAATTCAACATATAGAATTCTCCTATATTCCATTTAAATTACGATTCATAATTATGTTCTACTTGTTATTCATACATGATAAAGAAATTGTATTGAAATGCAAAATAAATTGTAAAACATGATATAAAATATAACATTGAAATTGATTTTTGATTTTGTTAAGTAATATGATGTACTTTTAAATTCAAATTGACAATATAATATTTATTTGAAATCATACAGCGAGATATATCTAACACTTGATAAAAAAAAAATAGTTGTCTAAATTTAACACATAAATTATATATGATAAAGTATGCTATTAGCCTACTAGCTCTATCGCATATTATATACTAATATCGCATATAAAGACACAATTTCATAGATTTATACATAGAATTTTACTTGGATAATACTTAGTTACTCATAGTTTGTAATATTTGTAAAGATGTAAATATATAGAATAAACTATACACGTATAAACTTATTATCTAGTTTATTATTATTTATTATTGATGGGTCTACTTTTGGATCTGAAGAGAAGCGGTGGTTTTGAGCTCATATCTGCTTGAATCACCTTCGAACCGCTACTAGACCGCGAGAACACATGCAAGAACTCAACGCCGGAAGTGTTTCCGGCATAGAGCCTCCGACGCTCAAATCAGTATGTGAAAGAAATGAAGAGAGGCTGAAAGGTCCTCACCTCCTCTATATAGAAGGAGAGTATGGAATGAATGGAAGTTACGGTTTAGGGTTACCTCACCTCCTCTATATAGAAGGAAAGTACCCGAAATGCCCTGGCCGGTTGACCTGAAAGGTCTAAATTGCCCTGGTCGATTCGTCTTCCCTCCTTGTTGAGTCATGACAAGATTCCTTCTTATCAAATTGGAGGACAAGAGGTCCTCAGAAATGTCGTAAGTGTATCGAATCGTCAGTGTACCTCACATCTCGAGGTGCATGGAGTCGACATCGAGTATGGAGAAGTCGACTCGGGATCTTTAGTTATTCGGAGGTTACGCTCTTGTTGGTCTTCTTAGGTAGATGTCGACTATCGGGGAGTCGGCTGAACGAAGTCGACTTCTGGGAGTCGACATGTATGGGATCTTGTCATTTCTCACCATCATTCTTATGAAGGGTCGACTTTGAGGAAGTCGGCTTGAGGAAGCCGATGGGCGCATGTCGACATTTGAACGGTTTGAGCCTCCTTCCGGTCGAGTGGAGAACACTTAGACCGGTATATCTATATATGGCTATATCATCTAGTCCCCCAAAAATTACTCTAAGCAGTCGAGTGCTTAAGAGTAAATTTGGTGGTCAGATGCCGCACTTTATTTGACTTGTCACCATATTCATTTTTGTTCGTCGTGTTGATAGATCGTCTCGTTATTCTGCCAGAATGCCTCTCCTCACCCCCTTATGATTACTTTTTAAAAAGTCTGACATTCTGACATTATTTTTGAATTTCAAATTTCAAAAACCCTGAAGTGACGCGTCACCTCAACCGCCGACTCTTCGGATTCTGTGCTTCATCAAGATCGTTGGTTTTCTTGCTGATCCAACGGTCAGCATCCATCACCATTATATATAAATACCTTTCAATCTCAGAGCCGACCACTTTTCACGCCTTCAACCTTCTCAACTCTCAAGCTTTCTCTGATTCTCCGGCGATCTTCATATTTTCGACTTCACCGGCGTTCTTCCTTTCCGGCGATTTTAAGTTCTTTCAGAGTTCAGATGATCGAGCCACCATGAGTAAGTTCGCAACTCCCTTGTTTCTCAACTTCTTTATCTGTTTTTTTTTTCTTTTTCTGGTTTTTCTGGGTTTTCTAGCTTTGAAGTTCCCATGTGTCCTTCATGTTCTCCAAACTTTTTCTCATGAACTTTGTGTTGAATCTTTTGTGCACCTGCTTTGCTTGGATTTTTTGTTTGTGTCTTGTTGGTTGTCGACTTTTGCTATGAAGTCGACTTTCGCACTCTGTTGAGTTGGTTCTTATCGACTTGGTGACCTCTCTTCTCTTTTTCCTTTCTCAAGTCTACTCACATCGACTTACTGATTTATCTCTGTCGAGTTAGTTGAGTTTTACAACTCATTGCCTCCTTGTGTGTTGATAGAAGTCGAGTTGCTTTGACTTTCTCGCATCTCTCGACCATCTTGTAGCAATTGCCCTCTTTTTGCTCTTTTATTCTATGTTGACCTTCGTGGGTTGACTTTATTTGTTCTGACCAGTCTTAATTCATGACTTTTACTAATTTCAACCTCTTCTTTTCTCCTTTTGGCTTCCAATCCCGATTTTTCTCCCGACACGCTTGATGGCTTGATCGACGAGGGCCCTCAGTCGTCCGATTCAGTCCAAGTGGTCGGTTTTAAGATGGTTTCGGCACCTCTCAGCACTTCTTCTTCCCATGCTTCCGCTTCCAGTGTCGACTGGAATGAATATGACCAAGCGCTTCTGGCGGGTGGCTTGGTTGACGTCTCGAAGAGCCCTTCTCGAGGGGGCTCTCCTCGTCTCGACCTTATTCCTCGAGGTATACCTCTTAGGCTCTTAGGCATTCCTGTATATAGAACGAGTCCTGTGTCTGTACCAATAATTGCTTCTCTTCTCGACTCTCAAAATACTGTATCAGTAGCTTGCCCTTTGGCTAGGTTAGCTGTTCTAAACCCATTTTCTTATGCCTCTGTAGCCGAGGTCGAGGGCTTCAGAAAATTTAGCGGGCT